CTTTAATGGTCATAAATTGTTTCCAAATTGCTATTATGAAAAAATCTGATATGAATATATCTGTACCTAACTCTTTTTATTCATTTCCACTTAGAATATGTACATATTGCTAAAACATTGAAAAAATTGTTAATTTCAATAATCTCAATAACTATGCATTTATAACTCTAATATATAGTAATGGTTTTATCAGTATTTTTATTTTTTACCAATCTGAAAGTCTAACAATTATATCTTTATTAACATTTGCACATCTTTATTTTCACAAGTTTGATTAGTCCATATAGATTTGTTATACGTTTAAATTTTTTTCATCAACAAAGTATCATTTTAGCCTTTTATGACTTGATGAGATTTTCTAATTTATAGATGTAAAGAAATATTTTATTAGGAATATTAAACTTTCTTCTTTACACAGATATTATTATTATTAATGATTTTTCTGACAGGATACAATTGACCTAATGTCTTTGTGTCCTATATGGTTTCTGAATTTGATGTTATATGATTTTTGGATTGAGTATTTTGATCAGAAAGATTTCTAAACCATTAAAATAACACTTGGTATTTAAATTTAAAGTTTCAAGTTACGTACTTTATTTTTTCCATCTAGATACGTTCTCAAAATAGGAATGAGCTAGAAACATATATTTGAGATATTTTGTTTCTCTTGTTAACTGGACATTTTTTCCTCATTATTTGTTTTGTTCATTTCCCCCTAGAATGTTGTATCTGTGCATTTACCTTTTATAATTACATTGTTTGAGTTTAGAATTTTTATGCATGACATTTCAGCACTTTAACAGTTTCATTCCATTGTTGTCTATTTAGTTCTGTGAACAAGTAGGCTGCTAGTATTTTTTTTCTTCTATTACAGCTAAAGGCTATGTTTTTTCATCTGTCTGTTTATAAGATTTTTATCTGTACTTTTTTCTCATTTTTAAAACTTAATGTACCTAGCTATGTGTTTATGCTCATGTGTGTTACTCTGTGTATTTTTTGTATATAAGCTGATAGTGGTGCATATTCCTAAATATACACCTATTTCTGCACATATTACTGAATATGTGGCTTAATTTACTGCGTCAGTTTTCAACATTTTCTTTCCACGATATATCTGCTCAAATATTGCTCTTGCGGTATTTAAGCTATTCCCGCTATCTCATCCAACCCAGGATTTCAGGTAAATGTGTGTTAGAACCTTCCCACAGATGCTAAATGCCCCTTATTTCCTGTTTAATATTTGCAATTCATTCTTCTCTTTATGACTTAGCTGAGATATTATCAGTAGATCTATCTCAATTTTCTAGTCCTCCCTTCTGCCATACCAAATCTAAAGATTCTTAAGTTTCAGTTATTATATCATTAAGTTCTAAGATTTCTATTTGGATCTTTTTTGTTTGTTTTGCATTCATACCTTTTCTAGTTCTCACTTAATGGAGCTCTGAATGTGATAACAGGGTGCCTAGTGCAGTGCTAATTGATTGCAGTGTTCTCAGAGGCACAATGATATTTTTGGAGAAGAAGGTGTGTAATAAAGGGATCTGCCTTTGACTTGAGGCTTCTGGCTCAGAAAGACACCTAATTTCTGAGTCTTTTCTTTTCTAATATAAATGTTTTATTTTTATTGTGTATGTGTGTGTGTGTGTGTATGTTTGGTACCTGAGATTATTTGATAATCTTTTCTCTCCTGCTTTCCTATTTTCCCTTTAATTTATTTAATGCTTTTTATTAAAACCAAAATAGAAATCAGGATAAGGACATTTTCTCTGCCAAGTCTCCTTAGAAAAAAAATTATTATCCTTTAAATTGCTTCTAGAAGGCCTAACTGAACAGAGAGGTGACTTCATGAATGACTAATTAACATGGAAGCCAGTACTCTCGAGAACATATTGTAATACCAAGCAGGTCGAAAAATGTGTGCTGAATTATTGTTATGATAATTATCCTCCACTGAATTTATCTTGGTGTTAAAAAGTAATAATAAAAATCTTGAATAGGTAGAATAATTACACTTAACTGCTGTAATTAATAAATTAATTTTAGAAAATGATTCGTATCAGGAATGAGTTATAATGACTGAAATTGAAAACCTCTGTGCTAACACTTTCTACAACTTTTTAACAAATTGTGTTTAAATCATTATTAAGAAGAATATTTTTCTGGATTTACTTTTTTGTATCTTAGCTTTGATTCTTATAACTACCCAATTTTAATATATAATCAATGTCTTCATATTATAAGAAGGTACAAAGCAAATTCACTTCTAGGAACAGTTACATTCATTCACAGGGAAAATTATGATTTACTATATGTCCCCAGATATACGTAAGTCAGTGCAAGCACACACAAAGGCTGTACTACACATCGCACATGAATGCCACTTGCATAGACAGATTCTATTACTTATCACTAAAGCTTCTAGAAACTTCACGTAGACTGGGGTAACTTTAATTCAATATTAATCTGTATACTCATTATCCAAAATTCTACAATAATATTGGATAGAATTCATATAACTAGGGAAGGTGGCATTACAGTCAATTATTTTTGGCTCGAAATTTTATTTAAGAACATTTTATAACTTTAAAGTAACTTGCTCTAAACATTCATTGGTCTGTATTTCTTAAAACTTCCCCAGATTCTGTGAGAATTTTAACTGGACAGCTGCTAAGGCCATGAGATGTTACAGGAGCTGAACTAGTGAAGGAATAAGGTGTCTGATCTTTCTCTACCGTTAGATTCTTTAGACTCATCAGTGGGTTTCTGTAAAATCTATCAAAAATGTGTACTATGTTAATGTTTCCTTATGTTATAATAAAACAAATATAATAATCTCACAAAAGATATTTTGGAAATGTTAAAATAGATTAACAATCTAGGTAACATTATCATACTATTATAATTAAACATTTCCACATGTAACATGCTATAGAAGACTTACAATCTCAGAAATGATGGAAACACAATGAGTGCATATTGCTTCAGTGCAATTTTATTTCAGAGAATAATGATCCCTTTATCTATTTCCATGGCCAGGGAGAATGCCTGGATTATCAGTACAGCTCTTCTCCTTTCCTCCCTTCCTTTCTTCTATTTTTTCTTTTTCTGTTGAATTTGTTCTTTCATTCTTTTTTCCTGCCAGTTACAATTCCAACACTGTCTTATGCTCTATACTGTTCACTGTTCAGATCTGACAAGTTTATGTACCAGAGAATAATGAATGCTAAAATGAAAATGGAAATATGCTCAATACCAGCTGAATTTCCATTTAAAATAATGCTCCCTCTCTTGCTTTTAAGAAAGACACTCTTCTTTCTCTTTTTTAACAGTAATTTTAAGTAGATATGAAAATGAAAGTAAAAAGATTGAAAGAAAGTTTGCAATAAAGAATATCAAATGAAAAACTAACAACAGTATAATTGGTGGAAATATAACACAATTTCACATACTTTATTCACATACACTCATTACTGAGAATGGATGGATAATAAGTATCTACAGTGTTAGAAGGTGGAAACGAAAGTGAAATTAACCCCTATTTAAGATTATTGAAAATTAGTGTTAATTTAATTGACAGTTAATTTCACAACAGTCATAAATTAATTCAACCCTATGCTTAGTTTTCAATTTCTCATGTACATGACATGTAGCAGCAATAAAAGCTAAACAAAGACAGACTCAGATACTGACATCTGCAATACAAGCTTAGAAGCCAACTATCCTCATCATGAGTTATTTCTTTAAAAAATATATTCAGCCAGCATGGCTGAATTCAAAAGTATTTTGCTTTTTGTTTTATTATTAATGTATCTGCACAAACAACCTACCTTTCTAGCATTTGTTTATATTGGGTGAATAACTAGGATTCCAGGTTTACATTAAAGCAAGTGCTCCTAGTGTGTTAACTTTATATCATATTTCTCCATAGCTAATTTTACTAGTTTTGCATTTCCTTTCAGATCATTAAAGGTTTACTATAAACAAAACTAATAGCACCATTCATGCTAAACGTCTCAACTGTCACATTCATGAGTTTACAATAGCTAGTAGAACCAAAGACATTTGGAAAATTAACATTTCCTGTGTTTCATACTTCTGACTATTATTAATTTGTCTTTTTGCCCCCAATTTTAAATAAGGCATAGTATATTCTATTTGGGACCCCATAAAAGTTGAATATCAGATTTTTAAAGATACTTTGCACAGGCAAATATTGTCAAATAACATTAAAATAAAGGGATCACTTATAGTAAACCTGATGTTTGACAATTGACAAGGCTGCCTAATTTACCTAGTGGCTCTGACTGTAAGATGCTCTCTCTCTGAATGCATGCACACTCAGACAAAGACACATGGGAAAACAAGCTATCTAGAAAACTATCAGTCTGACATTTCTTCCCATTCCATTCTAAAATATACTATAATTGAAAAGAGAATCCCAAGATATACTTTGTTTGCCAATGAAAGAGTTACGCAATTTAATCACTTCAACTTCAGCACCTAGTAACAGGGGTGGCAGTTGGAGTGGAAGGGGCAGTAATACTTTCAGACTTTGTTTAATTTTGTCATAACAGGATTTTTTCTTACGTTCCTATTTGTGACCTCAGCTCCTGCTGCAAAGGAAAGTGGGATTTACAATATGATAGTTTAAATTGACAGAAATGGCTTCAGACACATTTGCTTGATAAGGAAGCACTACATGTTAAAAGATACAAGTGCATGCTCTTTGCTGTCTGTTTCACTTTCTGTTATTTGTTGTTGAGGGATTGGCTCACCGCAGTACCTCTCTGGCAGTTTCTTGAAATTCCTTCTCCCATATGACTAGCCAGATGGTGATAAAACCCTGTATTACCCAGACATTTTTTATTGTAGTGGAAACCCAAACAACATTGCTTCAGTTAAAATTAAAAATAAAATTGACTTATCTAATCAAAAAGTTCTGGTTTCAGGTAAAGCAAGTCCAAATCCCAATGATGTTCTGAGAGTTCTGTCATGGATACACTCTTTGTCTTTTAGATTGCCACTATCAATTTGATTTATCAGCCTATCAAAAAGAGAAAGACTTTTCTAAAAACTATGGTGAGAAGTTTCTGGTAAAATGCTGGCCCCGCTTTGGTCCATTCCCCAAACACGCAGACTCGGGCTTAGCCTGCTCTGATTGACCATGCCTTTTATGTCCACTATTTCACTAGAAGCCAAACAGAGAAGCCTCAACCATCTCATGTGAGATAGGTAGTACAAAGGAATGAGGAGTTAAGCATCCAATTATATCATTTAGTTATTTATGTGTAGTGAAACTCTTGGAAAATTAGTGGCTTAAAACAATAAACATTTATTATTTCTTTTAAGTCTATGGACATCTGGGTGATTGTCTATCACAACCTGATTCAGCTAATCTAAACTGTGCTTATTCTTATGTCTGCAGTTATCTGTTGGGTCAAGTGGATCTGAGTCATGTAAGACGGTCTTGTGTGTTACGACTCAGCTCTGCTCCATGAAGTATCTTATCCTCCAATAGGAGAGTCTGGACCTGTTCTCATGGCAGGGGCAGGTACTTACAGGAGGGAGTGGAAAGTGGACAAGCCTCTTGAGGTCTATTGTGAAACTGGCTTGTCAGATCTCCTGCATTCTGTTTGCCAGGCAAGTCCAGATTCAGAGATAGAGAACGAGACTTTGCTTATTTGATGGGAGGAGCTTCAAAGTTATAGTGTGAAGGGCACTGATAGAGGAGTTACTGGAAAATTGGAACATTAGTGCAATTAATCCTAAACATCAAAAAAGGAAAAAAGTAATCCTGGGCAGAAAAAATAAAGCTTAAAAGGTGTCTTTATTGTTAACTTCAGATTTGCATTACTACCAATTTTGTATCTGATAAGAGTTAATATCCAAAATATAAAGAACTCATAAAACTCAAGAGCATAAAACTGAGTAATTCAACTTAAAAGCAGGCAAAGGATCTGAACAGATATTTTTTCCAAATAAATGCCTGCAAAGATATGGAAAAAAGGGAAACCTTGTGCACTGTTGGTGAGAATGCAAACTGGTACAGTCACTATAAAAACCAGTATGGAGGTGCCTCAAAAAATTAAAAATAGAAATACCATATGATCTAGCAATTCCACTTCTAGGTATATACCTAAAGGTAATGAAATCACTTTGTCAAAGAGATATCTGAACTTCCATTTTCACTGCAGTATTATTTACAAAAGGCAATGTGTGGAAACAACCTAAGTATCCATCAACAGATAACTGGGGGAAAAAAGAAGTGGTGTATGTACACAATGAATACTATTCAGGCATAAGAAGGAAGGAAATTTTACCACCTGTGACAAAATGAATGGACCTTTAGGGCATTATACTAAGTAAAATAAGTTAGATAAAGAAAAACAAATACTCTATGATCTTACTTACACGTGGAATCAAAATTTCTCAGAATCTCAGAGAAAATGCAGAATAAGAGATCAGATTTGTGATTGCCAGAGGTAGGGGGTAAGGAGTGGGAGAATTGGATGAAGGTGGTCAAAAGATACAAACTTCCAGTTATAAGATATATAAGTACTAGGAATGTAATGTACAACATGGTGACTATAGTTAACAATGCTCTATGCTATATATGAAAGCTGCTAAGAGAGTAGATCCTAAAAGATTTCATCATAAAGAAAAGAATTCTGAATATATGAGGTAACAGATGTTAACTAAACTTACTGTAATCATTCTGCAATATATACGTATGTCAACTTATTAAGTTATACACTTTAAATTTACACAGTGTTGTATGTCAATTACATCTCAATAAAACTGGAAGAAAAAAGCTTAGATTGTGACATTTGTGATTGAAGGTAATGTTTGAGCCTTTGGCCTAAGATACATACCCAACTCAGCTTTAAAAAGTTCTGCATTGAATTCTTCCCACAAAAATATCAATACCTCAAAGATAATGAAACAGTATCTTGTTTCCAATTTGTTTTCTGTGTCATGCCTATAGCTTCCTCAACAGCCCTACACGCAGCCTGTACTTGTCAGGGAAGGTGTGGGCATTCTTGTGTCACCGGCCATTAAAAATCAAAACCTTCCTCTGGTTTCTAACATTGTCTGAAATATCAATCCCGGACACTGTCTGAGTTCTATAATTCATCTGTGGCTATTTACAAAAAGTAACTTTTTTAATCCTCAGATAACTCAGTAAATTATAAACCTGTTTTTGATCATTCTTCTTTCAAGCAAGAAAATGAACCTTCCCAATCATCAATCTAAGCAAACTGTGGGGCACTTTGGGGAGGGCAGGCTTACTGACACTTTTCAATTAAACACAGAGTTTATATGGAAGAATAAGAACAATAATACTGATGCAAATCAAAACTGCAATGAGGTATCACCTCACATCAGTCAGAATGGCCATCATTCAAAAGTCCAAAAATGACAAATGCTGGAGACGCTGTGGAGAAAAGGGAACCCTCCTACATTACTGGTGGGAATGCAGTTTGGTGCAGCCACCATGGAAAACAGTATGGAGATTCCTCAAAAGGCTAGGAATAGACTTACCATATGACCCAGGAATCCCACTCCTGGGCATATATCCAGAAGGAACCCTACTTCAAAATGACATCTGCACCCCAGTGTTCATAGCAACACTATTTATAACAGCCAAGACATGGAAACAGCCTAAATGTCCATCAACAGATGACTGGATAAAGAAGAGGTGGTATATTTATACAATGGAATACTATTCAGCCATAAAAACTGACAACATAATGCAATTTGCAGCAACATGGATGTCTCTGGAGAATGTGATTCTAAGTGAAGTAAGCCAGAAAGACAAAGAAAAATACCATATGAGATCGCTCATCTGTGGAATCTAAAAAAAATTTTAAAAAGAACTTATATACAAAACAGAAACAGATTCACAGACATAGAATACAAACTTGTGGTTGCCAAGGTGGTGGGGGGTGGGAAGGGATAGACTGGGATTTCAAAATGTAGAATAGATAAACAAGATTATACTGTATAGCACAGGGAAATGTAAACAAGATCTTGTGGTAGCTCACAGCAAAATAAAATATGACAATGAATATATGTATGTTCATGTATAACTGAAAAATTGTGTTCTACACTGGAATTTGGCACAACATTGTAAAATGACTATAACTCAGTAAAAAAAAATTAAAAAAAGAACAATAATACTGGAGCAAAGAAGTCTAAGGAAGTCTTTCTCATCATGACTTAAAACAGAATTAGTGCTTGCAGAGCAGGGCATCCCAAGGAAAGGTTAGATCCAAAGGATAAGTGCTCTAAATTAACAAAATTTCCTACTTTTATGTTATTGCCAAGATGATAACAATTAGGGCATTGATACCAACAGTTCTATTTATTTGTTCTCATTTTCTTATGTTCACATGGTCATATATTTTCTGTGGTCTCCTGGAAATCTGATGCAATTAAGATTTATACACACATATATATACATGTATATATATGTAGTATTAATTTAAAAATAGGAAATATTTGTTTAAATGTATCACTTTATTACTTGTTTGAACAAAATAGTGTCATATTTAATTATGTAACAGCAAAGGAAACATTGTCAGTGTAGTGATAAATAGGTTTTATATTTTATGGTCTACTATTACACATTTTTCACTATTTTAAAAGGATGTTAAGAAAATTCATTAATAAATTCATTAGAAGAGGGGATATCTTGAAGGCCATAATGCTGGTAAGTCTGACTTATGTTTCAAATCTTTCAAAGGAATAACATCTTATTTATGCCCATATCTAGAAGTACAAAAGAAAACGCTTAATATCTTTAACTTTGTAATGTTATGCTTTGTATGTTTAATTCAACAAATAAATTGTCATGTATAAGTTGTTTAGCATAGAATCCCAACTAAATGTATTTCCTAGAATCTTCCCCACTAAAACAAGAATATTAATTAGTAAAACTTAAGAAACAAACACTAGTGGAAGAAGTCTTGCATTTTCCCTTGTTTCAATATAATAATATGATCCAAACAGACCACTATTTTCTTTACAGATTACCAGCTTGTCAGAATTGACTTCTTGTATTATTGTTCATTACTAGGATACTAGTTGGTGTGCAAAAGAGATGACCTAATCTCTACACTGACAAAATGGAAGCTCTTATGCTAGCAGCAAAGAATACCACAAGTAAGACATTTTATGGAGGCCTTAATTCACTTTCTACCCATGTTAGTCTATAAACTAGAAGAATAATTTATTTTGTGGAATAAATTTTCTCAAGCAAAGATTCAATTCTATAAAGTTATTATGTTTAAATATTGCCATTGAGACATAAATGTTCTATCATACTAAGAGCAGAGACAACCAGCACCTTTGAACCCCCCAAATAAAAATAAATTACTTAATTCATGAAATCCAAATGGGATACAAAGTAATTGAAATAGACTAAATAGAAGAAAACTGGATTTAAAGATTTAAATAATGATGAGGTTAAAAGTTACTGTCATTTCTCAGTAATTTATTTCTTCTCTGTAGATATGTATTTTATTTTACATTCTGAGTAAATTAGTATACCGACAATGTTTTTTTTTTAATATTCTTTCATATATCTGGTAATTCAGACAGCACTACCATGTTTGTAAATACCTTCTCATACAGAAGAGAGATGAAAAACTCTATACAATGCAAGAACAAAATGCTTTATATGCATTTTCTGAATAGTTCAGTTATCAGAGATTGGCTTTTATTTTTCACGAGAACACTTTTATTAACTGCACTGACTTCACTTCCACCTGTAATATATCATATGTATTTGGAGCCTAAAGACACATTACATGTAAGGCTGAAATTACTACTAAATGATTAAAAAAAACCAGGGAAATGCATGCATTCATTGCAATTACTATGTTACTACTCAGTATACTTGATAAGCAATACGTTATATTGCGCTCCCTGAGCTTTCTGTCCTCTCGTTCATCTAGTTGATTAACAAGTTGGCATTAGCTCAAAACTCTTGTCAGACTCACTGTGATATGACACCCTGTACAGTATTTAGGAATACACTGAGTTTTATGTTTTTACTTTTGATTAAAATTTGAAAATGTTGTTCATGCAATACTGCTACTTCAAAAATAGAAAAAAAAAAAGCCTGAGTTATTACTGGTCAGGCTTGATTTTTAGGTTGAATTTTTAAAAAGTTAACTTTATTTTAAGACTATTTTAATGCCCCTAAATCCTGATATTTGCAATGTCAAAGTAATTAAAGTGAAATAAGTCCATCATTTCTCAGGCAAATTTAAGCAAAATTGAATATTTTAAGTGTATTTGATTTGGCCACTACTAAGGTGATCAGGTTTTCTCGTCATCTGTGGATGTGATAGCATGTTCACTTTTTGAATAAGAAGAGGAAAAAGAGGATGCGGGACAAGGAAGAAGGTGAAGAAGAGGAGGCAAAGGAGGATGGTGGGGAGTAGAAGAAGAAAGAAAGAATGGGGACAAGGAATCGAGATGACGTAAAAGATACTACTTAGCTATCAGTGCATGTAAAACTAAATCTATACAACATAGCACTAAATTAACATTGAGATGTAGCTAATTATTTTAGCGTAGAGGTTTATTCTGGATTCAAGTCTCAGTGAGTTACTTTGATATCTGAGATTTTTCTAGTTTGTGTTTTGCTTTTAATCCAGTGAATATTTATTCTTCCTGTGTACATAAATTCTGCTCCAGTGGTTCACAGTTTATGCATGTGCAAGCAATGGAAGTGGAAAACTAGTCAGTTATTAAGCTAACTTATCTCTGATCGCTGATGCTACTTGCCACAGCTCAATTTGGCCATATTATTTTTAGATAAGTTTCATAGTTTTTTTCCCTCTGCTTGACTTGTCATAAGTAAATGTAAAATTATACTATATGCCATTAGAGAGATAAAGTGATATCAATTTTTGTAGGAATTAACAAATAACATATTCATATATATTGTGTGCAGATGGAAAGAATAGGCATTTATATGTATAATTATATTGATATCTGGATATTTTTATTATTATTTATGTGGCATCAGATCATTCTGACATTTGTGATAATGGTCAAATAATTGAAATGCCAATTCAGTGAGATTATTTCCAATATATTTACATAGTTTGAGTCTCAGGCAATTTTTCATTCTACAAAATGATACAGACATCCTACCTGATGTGCAAATAATCTGGAATTAAAACTGATCACTTTGCAAAATGATTAGAAAGATAATGTTTTTCCTTGATAAATTATCAAGGTTTATTTTCTCCCCCATGGTGACAATTTCATGGCATCTTACATTCTTGAAATTTTCTGAAGAAAGCTTCTACTTAAGTACATTTTAAACAGATGCAAAGTTTTTGAGCTCTTATGGTACCATATCTGAACTCTGTTTTTGTCAACAGTAGCAAAATATGTGGCTCATTACGTTATCCAGGCTGAAGCAAAACTGAAAATGCAACAAATTGAACAACAAAAAGGATATTAATTATCAAAAAAATTTTAAGTGTCTATTAGTAGCTCTTTCTATCACAACTTCTGGTTTCTGCATTGCCAAATCACTGACTTTCATCAAAAGCAATTACAAGCATCCATTCCACCAGAACACCACAGAAGCGGGAATATGACCAACTTTTCAGCTCATTCATGCTTTGCTAGAATTCACTCTTTACATTATAATTACATAGGAGATTAGAAAATTTGTGGCTAAATCTAATCTGACTCAAAACCTGACCATAAATAGCATAAATTTAAACTCCTACACATATATTCTCAAGAACAGTTTAACTGACATTTCTGAAAATCTAAAATTCTCACTGCTTGTAAATTTAGACTATTTTACAAATATGTGAAAAGTTTTATCAAAATACATAAAATCTGAATTGTTATTTTAATTGTGGGGTATACACCATATGTTACCTTCTCATATATTTTCCAATAAAATAAGGTTTGTTAGGATGCAAGAGTTGAATTCTTCTACAGTATAATGCATAATATATAAAATCTGCACAACTGAAAAAGAATTAATATATGCTACTTTATTACTATACAGGTTTATAGCAGACTATCTCTATTATGTCATGGATTATACAGATTTCAAAGAGAAGTGGGATTTCTACCTACTAACTACTATTCATATGTATTTACCACCTAGTTTTCTGTTTTCCCCAAAGCAGTTACCAGTGCATACTTATGTCTGAATATTTACATCCACACTATTTCTGCAAATCAAATAATTAAGCTCACCCACTTGTTGACCAAGGAAGCAATTAAAGTTCCCCTCAGTTTGACTAAACTTTAGACAGGTTTCTGATGATAGGTCCCTGACGTCCCTTTTCTTAGAGTATTTACTTCAGAAAACTTTCAATTATAAATCTTGCTTCTTTGAGAAGTAAATCTTCTACAACCCAAAAATGTCTTTATCAAGGGCCTAGGAGCTATCCCTTTGAATGCAATTATTGAAGGAGATATTACCCCTATCACTGATTCTTTGTGGGAGTGTAGGAGTATAACGTCAACAAATTACAATGAGCAAACACAGATGGTCTAATCACATTGCCCCACCTTCCTCCAGTGTCCTCTTATACTTTTCCATTAGCTCACCCAGCATTAAAAAATTGTCCTGCCTTTTGTTTCAGTGGCGTTGAGTTTAATCTCTTTCCCTATTGTGATAATCTTAACTCCTACTGTAATAGTCTTGAACAAAGTCTTTCCTGACCTTTTTTAACAAGTGTTGAGTGCAATTTTTCTTTTATGGTTTCCTGGTTGAATTCCTGTACAGAATTCATGTACATTATAAAAGAGTTATTTTACGCCATTAAGTTGTAAGGGTATTTTATCACACAGCAATAGTAGCTAGAAAACTGGTCTGAAAAATTACCAATGTAACTTACCGTTTAAATAAAATGTAAATTTAAAATATGGGAAACAATACTGTTTTGAGACATGTAATTAGAAGAGAAAAAGGTAAGGTTCAAAATTTAAATTGGCTTTTATTTACATTAGACCTTTTTTTTTCCCTCAAATTAACCTTAACCACACAAACCTAGCACCATTCATCCCTGAAGGAAACTCTTCACCTCTCTTTGTCAGCTATTGGACAGATGATTACTGTAGAGAACATTCATGTGCCAAGAGATCAAGACCACCACTGATCTTCATCATAACTATTAATCTGAACTGATCTTTAGTCACCTCCTATTAGTTCCCTCGTTATTGTAACAATTATCTCACTTTCTCAATCAGAATGTCAAACCTTCTCCACTCTTTGCAAGTGTCCCTTTTCAACTGTCTTCTGTTTCTCATAAAACCACAATAGTGTATATTCAACTATTACTGCATTTCTCCTGTTGCAGTATTAGAGACGCCATTCCTCTGGTTTTAGGCCACTTCCTTTACCTATATTCTAAGTCCCAACTCCTCCAACCTTCTCAGGGGGAGCTTAAACTGAAACAGAGAGACAGACAATAAACAGGTGGCAATGTATCTCTAGACACCATGTCACTAAGTGTAATGGATTGTGTCTTCACTCTCATATTGCTTAACCTCTTGGCAGCATTTAAAGTTGTACATCTGAAAAAGTCACATGAACTTCCATGTATCACCCTTACTTCTCAGGCTTTTACATATTCAGTGACTTTAAGTCACTCAAGCACTCTTATTTTCCCACCTAAGTGTTTACTCTATCCATACTCATGGCTTCAGTTACCAATGATATGCCTGAATCTCCTAAAACTACACCTTCAGTAATGACCTCTATTCAAAACTCCAGAAATCTATAACCAATTGTCTTCTGAATATATATACTTTGAGGTCTTATAGGCAAGTGAAAAGATGAAGAAAGGGAAGTTTCTAGCAAAGAAATGATGAGAGTACAGAGAGAGAGAAGGAAAAGTATTAAAAAGGGTATATGTGACCTGTGAGATAGAAGTTTACTAAATGAGAATAAATTTCAGGTCCAAATCAATAGAAGAAGTAGAGTAAGCATACTACAAAATATGTCTCCCTGAAGGACAAATTGGGAATGATAGAAAAGAAGGAATGGAGGCCAATTCCTTAAAGATATAACTCAGGGAAGTTTATCCAGGACATGTGTGGTGCTAAGAAGATAGAGGGATGACACGAAAGAGGAAAAGCAGTAAGACATAGTTTGTTTTATGAAATATTATACAGTATATTGCACTTATTAAGTGGCAGATTCCATACTAAACTTTAGAGTATATTAACTCCATTCTAACGCAGTGCTATTAAGTAGTAACCCTTACTTTCCTCATCTTACAAAAGAGTATTTGTGAAGAGGTTGTTAATGAAAAATTAATCAAGTCAATCTAAGAAAGAAACAAAAACTTTTACTTGAGCCAACCTGTGTATTATAACTCAGGAGAAAGTCTCTGAGGACTGAAAGAAAGCTCTGAGGACTGTTCCACCCATCAGAGGCCAAAGTACATTTATTGAAGTTTTTGAGACAAAAGGTTATACATCAAAGTAACATACTGACAGTTAACACAGTACAAGGAGGCAAGTACCGGGTCATCATGACCCCTTACAGGATTAAGAAAGGAATGTTATCTCCTAAAGAGTTACCTTGTTGGCTCCAGGAGAAAATTATTTGCTATTTGGTGCTTTGGTGAGTAGGCATTCCTGTGTCTTCTAAATGGATCTAGTTAATGTGCAGTGTAGTCGTACAATGCACAGTGGCTCAAACAGCAGATACAATTTTAATTTTTTTCTTGTCCTAACTTAAAAATAATTTTGCTTCATCAAGATGCTACATTGTGCTCAAAATCATGAAGGTAATAAGAATTAAGGCTGGGATTTACACACAAGCATTCTGACTGCAGCTTCCATGCTTTATTGTATATTTGTCAGTTTACACATTTTGGGCATAGTCTATGCACACATCGCTTCTTCACTTCAGCGTAAAGACGTGAGGGAATTTGACTGAAATCAAATAAAAACTATGAGTAAGGTAAAAAGACAGGAAGGTAGAGCAATGGGAGGAAAAGAGGAGGAAAGAAAGACAAGAAAACAAGCCAACTCTTTATTTGGGAGACCACATAAAATGTAACTCCCTGTTAGTTTTCCCTGAGGCAATTTCCTTCTTCTCTAGAAACAATATGCTTTTGTATCAGAGAAAGCATGAGTTTAGGCTTCAGGCTACCCTGTTTGAATACTGCCTTGGAAGAAGACAAGCTGAGCAAACTAAGCCACGTTCCTTAGACTCCATGATATTCAGGATGAATGAGGAACTTTACAGAAATCACCCAGCATACAGTTTAGCAATAGGAATTCAGTAAGAAGTATGTTTTTTTCTCTACCATGCAGACCATTCTCCACCCAAATTAATTTATTCCTGAAACTTCTTCAACATTTCCCACTGATTCGAGCTGCACCACTGAATACATCCTCATGCCTTTGCTTCAGCAGTTCCTGTGCTGGAATGCAGTATCCAATAAGGAACAAAGAAGTCTCAGAGAATACTCAGGCTCATTTCAAATATGTGTGCAGCCAAACGAACATAAATGCATTGAATATGAAATACTTCTAAAAGAGACACAATAATGGTTTGTGGTGTGGTGCCTCAGTTTCTTTCAAATGGTGGCAAAAAGAGAGTTAATTAAGTCACTCAGGCCAGCATTATACTATTCAGTAAATATCCCATAATTCTCTTACATTGTATCCAAGTTGGTTATCCTTCAAAGGAAAAGTAAATTTTCTTCTTTTTAAGACTGAAATGTTTTGCTAACTTCAGAGCCTGATTTATTTAAATGTAACTGAGTTGAAGGCTAAGGTTTCTTGCTATTATAATCTGTATCCAATGCTGTTTCCTTAAAAAAAAAAACTAAATGCAAAGAACACCAAAGCTAAATAGATAGGAGGACAGAAAAAATCAACAGTTCTATGAGAAATGAAGTAGGTTACTACTGATATGATAAAAGTTTAGAAATCTTAAAGAGTTCTCTACAGGTGCTAATTTTACTACTTGAATGAAATTAATAAGACTCTCTATAAAGCAGCAGGAGATCCTTAGATTACACGAGTAATCAGCAAGAAAATTTATTGTGGTTTCATGAAGCATAAAATGTTTGTGTAATATATGCAAAAGTGGTACTTTATTCTCTGCAGTGAACAATTCTTAGTCCTTATAACAGAAAAATATTTAATAGCTTGACAACTCTTGAGGCATAGTTTTTAAAAGCTGTTCATGCGTGATTAATTTGACCCAATACAAAATAACAATGCAACGATGCTGAGTCATGTAAAACTACTGGAGGATCTTATGCATTAATATAAAGAGACATATAAGGCAAAGAATAAAAGGGAATCTGGATTTTTTTCTTTCAGATACAAGCCAAAGTCTAGAGTAATCCAGAACACAGAGTTATTTCTCAGGAAACATGTGTTTAATAAATAATGAGAAAAAATGAGTAATCAGAAATGAACTAGAAATGATATGACATCTGGGAAGATCTAATGAAGCTAACTGATACCTAAGATATAATATTTTCAAAGAGGATTAAAGTAGATAATAATGACTTTAGAATATATATATTTTTTACCCTTAACTGAATTCAATCAAGTCCTATGTTACACTTTTCTTCAATAATATATATTTTGAGTTAGATTTTTTTTTCCTATATTTTCCTTGATTTGGTCTACATAAAATTTCCTTGGATTTCACATGATTAGGCTTTGGGCATGAATATCTTTGGAAAAATCTCTATGCAAATGCTGGCACAATCACATAGCTATTCAAGACTTTGTAAGTACTATGTCATGATTTTTGTTATTAGATTCTCTCTCTCTTATGAAAGTAACCATGATACTTCAAAAAAGAAGATTCCAGTCAAAATGGAATACAAGTGAGCACCAGCCTTGGGAATCCAATGGGACTCCTTGTGCAGCTATGCAGCTATGGTTTCAGGATAATTCTTAGGAATATATAACATAGAAAATATGGATGGTCAAGAAAAAATATGGTCATGGCAAGCTTTATAAACTTTTTTTATTTTATTTTTTTTTCTATTTTAAACCCTTGTGTCGAGAGCTGACTTTCAATAGATCGCAGCGAGGGAGCTGCTCTGCTACGTACGAAACCCCAACCCAGAAGCAGGTCGTCTACGAATGGTTTAGCACCAGGTTCCCCACGAACGTGCAGTGCGTGACGGCATTTTTTTTAAATGAAAATATTTACTCTAAATATATGTCAGAAGGAACATATACTGTTTGGCGATAACTATTAGGGACATATTACATGCCAGGCACTTTTCTTAGATATTTTCATATTACTTTATATAATTAAATAATATTTACTTCATGAAGTAGGTGCAGTCATTAACCCCATTTTATATATGAAGAAACCAAGGCACAAGAGATCAATTAGCCCAAGATATTTTTTGGTAGAGTCAGGATTTAAACCCTTGCTGTACTGGCTTTAAACCTCAGTCTTGTAATCAATATAATATACATTAGGCCCTTGTTTCTACAGATGGGGAACATGTGGATTAAACAACCATGAATCAAAATTATTCAGAAGAAAAATTTTTCAGAAAATTCCAAAAAGCAAAACTTGAATTTGGCATGCCGGCAACTATTTACATAGCATTTATATTGTATTAGGTATTATAAGTAATCTAGAGATTATTTAAAATATACAGGAGGATGTGTGTAAGTTATATGCAAATACTACGCCATTTTAAATAAGGGTCTTGGGCATTCTTGGAATTTGGTATCCGAAGTAGGGTAGGGCCCTGGAACCAAACCCTGGTGGATACCAAGGGAGGACTGTACTGCCTTCCACACAGTACAACAAAAGAGATAGATGCTGGTGTTATTTGAAAGCATGTCTTGTTAACCAATTATTTTCCTACATCTATTTGTGACTTATTTTGAAAATTCTCACATTACTTTCTCCCTCCTTACTGTAGAATATCTTGTTTTGTCACTTCACATTTCTCCAAGTGTGCCTCTGTGATGCTCAGTAAAATTCTCCTTGTTCTTTAGAGGATTTGCTGATTTGAGTTGTTGAATGACTCTAAAACTGGGTATTTTCAGGTAAAAAGAAGAGAATATACCTGAATGAGAGAACATAAATTTGAGTCGAACGACAAGTCAAAACAATCAAATGGCTACCTATTCTGGACTGAACTTCAGAATGCTTTTAGTGAAAAAGGATAAAATAAAATGGAAAGTTGCCCTAGTAACCTACCAATCATTTATGTATGTTAAAACATGTTTGTCTGAACTAACAGATCTGGGTAATACGCAAGGTAATGCAGCTAAGTAATTAATAATAGTTCACTATTAGATATTCAAACATTGATATACCAATGATCATGAAAATTTTAATGTCCAACTTCTCTATATAAGTTGATATGTTACTATTTATAAATATGGGCTTTGAGCTTATGAATATTTGCACTTTGGGAGCATTTAACATTCATTGATTTGAGATATTAAATGCAATTTTCTGCACTTGTTATTTTAATTAAATGGAAGTATCAGTATAAACTAGCTCAGAATTTGAAGTTGAATTCAATTACAGCTAGGTCAAAAAATGATTCAAAAATGCAAGTTCTAATACAACCCTCTAATTTGCCTGTTTCCTCAAAATAATTTTTTTTTCTGTACTAGAGACATAGCTGCCAGATCTTTTTATATTGATGAATAAAAGCGAGTATTTTTCTATGGTCAGATTTGCTATCTTGCTGTGACTTACATTTAGTCAATCTTAAATTTAGCTATACATGAATACTGAAATATATAACATTTATTATTTGTGCAACTACACTCCAAGAACTATCTTCACCTATTTTCTATTTTTAAATTCAAGT